ATTACTTTACTTCGAGTTCGAGCAAACACTCACTCGACCATAAATCCTAAGGGCTATTTTTTACTTCGAGATCGACCAAGCACTCACTCGATCAAAAGGCCTAAGGTCTACACTAGTTCGGTTTTTGATCATACTATCTGAACCCCGACATTAGAATACAACTTCACAATTCTATAAGGCAGAAAGGAAAAAAGCTTTTTATACATGTCAAAAATCATTTATAAGGGCAGAATGGCCCGATCAAATTTCTTTACAAAAGACCAAAACGGTCTTATAAAAAAACACAAAAAATACTAAAAGACTTAGTCCTCTTCGGGAGCAGCATCTTGGCCCTCGAGGCCCCCTTCACTTTTAGATCCGCTCGCACTCCCTGTATCATCATCATCAGGAAAGACCAATACTCTGGTTTCGGCTTCAAGCTCCTTAGCTTTCTCGATCTCGGCTGTAAGATCGAAGCCACGAGCATGGATCTCTTCGAGAGTCTCCCTTCGATACTGACATTTAGCATGCTCGGCAACCCAGTTCGCTTGAGCCTAAGCAGCCTCTTTCTGCGGAACAGTTTTAGATATTTTTGCCATCTAAATATTTATGAACAAAGAAGAAGGAAGAGTGAAGTATTTGGTGTTTTGAGAAGAACAAGCAAAGAAATTCTAAGACCTAGAAATAGAGAGCTTTGGGAAAGACGAAGAACTGTGAAGATTGGAATGAAAAGAGATTTGAAGGTAAAAGTTTGAAATGATGAAGAAGGAGGCTATTTATAGATTTCACAGTGACGGTTCAAAGTTGGCAGTGGCCGACCATCGACTGACGCGCATTTAATGCCTTGGTAACTGGACTGACGGGATATTTGTCACATACGTCACAATTGGGCTCGACGCAGACGTCAGTATGTATCTAGTCAGAGGTTGAAAAATCATATCGTTTCATGCCACCCTCTTTCCGAGAAACGAGGGGACTATTTGTATACGGTCAAAATCGAGTTTGCCCTTCGTGTGTTTAATCAAGATTAGAATATGATGGACCGAGGGTCGTCATTATGATATCGAGCTATGATGTGAAGTTGTGCTGTCGAGCTCGAGACCCAGAGACCGATCAATATCAAGCTCGAGGTCCACAGACCGATCAATATCGAGCTCGAGTCAATATCAAGCTCGAGGTTCAGAGACTGATCAATATCGAGCTCGAGTCAAAATCAAGGGTCGAGGGTAAAGAAACCAGCCAAGACCGAGATGGAGCCAAGAGACAAAGAGCCGTTATAGCCGCACTAGTGAAGAGAATCTCGGCGAAAATCAAGGAAAAACTAATTAATTAATCTATCATGAGATCTCCACTATGTATTTTTAATTATATCCAAAGTATAATTCCTCCACTTTATTAAGAGTGGTTATCATTCATTCAAGGGAGAGAAAAATTTCCATTCACATATTGATATACATTTATACATTCTCACGTCCAGAGATTATTGAGATTTACATAACACCTAGTAAATATTATCCCTTTTTGGGGCATTTGATATTGATTCATCGTGTTCATTTATCAGTTATTCTCTATTCAATTTGGGTTTGTATTCATTCCTTTTTACAGTCAATATTCGATATATCTCTACTTATTTTTTTAATTTGTACCAAGTTATACCACATATCCTTAGAACTACGTATAAATTCAACTCTATCCGTTTTTTGGGATAAACAAGGTTACTTTGAAACAATTTCTAGATTCAAAAAATTGATCGATCTATATTAGTTAAAGAATTATCAAATTTTTTAAGGAATAAGGATCGTGTCCTTTTCTTCACTTGGGACTATACATGCCTTTTTTACTTAACCTTAGTTAATATTAAATTAAGATTAAATGAGAATCCCATACTAATATAACCTACAATCCCCTAAATTTTAAAGATGCTGCTGCTTTAATTAATTATTGTCCTGATTGCGCTGCTGCATCTTGCCAAAGTGCATTTAATGGCTAGTAATTATTCGTTGACAATCTCTTAAAGTAAATTAATTGGAACAGTTGTAGAGAGGCTTTGGAATGATATTCCTAGTTTTTTTTTTTTTTTTTTTTTTTTTTTTTTTTTTTTTGATAAACTAGATAAATAAATAAAGCTCAATAATAAAGTCTAGCACCAACACTTGACATTTATTTTTAAAGGGGAAATGGGTAAGGCGATTACAAAGTGGGAATAGAAGTTAGAACCTTTACCGACAAGGTGAAATTCATATAGCCAATTTTATTCAACATTATTTTCTTATTATTAGGTTATTTCCTGAAAAATCGTCACATCTTCATATTTGAAAATAATTTAATACTTGAGAAATATTATATTTATAAATATTAATAATTTAATATTTAATTTTTTATTTTATCCGTTTTATAGTTACAAAAATCTCATAGAATATATATTTAAGAAGATAAGTTCTGACTTTTTAAAATTAAATTCCGTGCTCAAGCGAACTCTGCCATATAAATTGAAGTGGTAGTAGCACCATTCCTTTTCTTTTTCCATTGAAAAGGGATTATTGATAAACAATGTCAATCTCTTTCCTAATGATATGGTAAGCTCAAAGGTCAACGAGTGGGAAAGGACATTTGTATAATTGTATTGCAAAATTGTTGTATTTCATAAAAAGATAATGTAGAAACTGTAAAGAGGGACTTGTTCAATTCAAAACAAATGATTTCAAACAAAGGGATCAACATGGAAAATATTTATTGGAAACAACTTACTTGAAAAACATATATATCACTGTTAAAGGTCATTAATTTATATAGATGTATATACGACCAGTGATGGACTAACTGCTAAAGCTCTTGAACTCACTTATTATTCCTAAAAAACAAGTAAATAGCATAGTTTCAAATCCTTTTCTAATTGTTAAATGTTGCTGATATTATATTTCCATTGACTTATTTTCATGGGGTTTTTTCGAAACTTTCATTTTAACATATTGTCATTGTGCTCTAACTTTCATTCAATTCATAACTATACCTCAATCTCAAATTAATTGGCATAATTACTATAAAAATCATTTGCATCTTCTCTATTAATGTGTATCTTCTCTATTAAAGCATTTTGATTACTCACCATGGTTGCATAATTTAATATTTATTCTTAATCTAGTGTGACATTCTAAATCGATAATGTATTGGATTTACTTAGGCGAAGTTTTTTTTTTTAGTTTAACTATTCCATATTTGGTATTCACTTGTAGTCTGGCACGATTAATTCGTATTTGCATCGCGTATGACCCCTTTAAAGGGAGTGCTTTCTATCGAGAATCCAAGTTGAACCAGAAAATTTTGGTTACATAAGCGAAGTGTTTTTCAGTTTAACTATTCCATATTTGGTATCCACTTGCAGTCTGGCATGATTAATTCGTATTTGCATCACGTATGACCCCTTTAAAGGGAGTACTTTCTATCAAGAATCCAAGTTGAACCAGAAAACTTTGGTTACACAGACGAGGTTAATGATATGTAAAACATAAATAAATAGGTATAAATAAAATAATAGAAACCTGTAAGTTTATTGGTTGAGTGGTTAATTTTAAAAACTAAATTTAGTGGTAGTTATAATCTATACCTATATTATATTTAAAGACTAAGACCCTTAACGAAATGTTGTTCGCCTTTTTTACCCTTTAAAAATAGGTTTCACACTAGACAAAATAGTCATTTAAATTATTTTCTTAATATTTAAGCTTTTCAAATTAATTTAAAGTTTGACTATTAAATCTTTCCTTATTTGAGTTAGGTAAAAACTCTTAATACTAAGTAGGAATTATATATAAGATTCTTTCCTTATTTAAATTACCTTTTTTTAAAGAATTAGTAGTTGAGTTTTTTCGATATCTTCTAAAACAATAGTAATTAAATGACTTTAGAAGTCTTTTTTTTGGCTAATACTTTAGAAGTCCTTATCCCAGTTTTGAGATTTTTTTGTGAATGAGAAACAAAACGCGTGGGCCTGTCAAAGAAATTAAAATATATATATATATATATATATATATATATATATACACACACTATAATAGTTATTCTATTTACTTAAACAACACAGTAGGTAGCATTTCAAAAATATTGTGAATTTTTGAATTTAATTACGACTCCGTTATTTTGACTGTACCTTTTTAGTTAAGCAAGAAAATAATAACGCTCTAGCCGATTTTTATTGATATGGCCCAAAAATAAAAATACATAATTATTCTAGATAGTTATTTGCATCTAAAAAATAACAAATAATACACAATTGGTACTTTATTATTTTAGCTTCGGTGCAAAGTTTAGAGGATTTTCTTAACATAAGCTCCATATTTTTGGCTCATAGATTAACATTGTCCTTTTAGAATTCTTTAACGGTAATTATTTCATTCCAATCTTAGACTTTTACTTCCATAAAAGAAAATATTCGGATGCATAGTTATGTGCTTGGACAAAGAAAGAAAGCTCATACCAAAATGAAGAAATAGTAGATTAATCAAAATGTAACAGTTAAAAAATACCTTTTGCAATAGTAATTTAGTCCTTTCTAATATGTTGAAAACAATTAATATGATATTTCTTATTGATAGTAGACATAGAACAATTGTCTTTTTGTCTTGAGAGTTTCTTACTTAGTTGAAGTTAGCTAATTCGGATCAATAATTTTTAGAAACTTAATTTTTTGTTATTTTTTATTTTGTGCCTTAAACACAAATTTTAATATAATATTTATGTAATTTTTTAAAATTTTATATTTATTGAGATGGTGTACGCGCGTTGTGTCTGTCCTAAAACTAGTAACTATAAATAGAAACAAAGCAAAGAGCTAGGGAGAAAATATGTTAAAAACAGTATATGCTGCATGCCTAATATTCCTAAGAATAACGATAATAACTATTCTAAAAAATTATTCCATCAATGAAAGTTTACAAAAATAAACGAACCTCGTGACGGTAATGACGCTACTATAGTAGTATATTTTAGCTAAAGCTTTAATAAAGGAGTACGTATTAAGTAGTAGTTATTATTTGTGATGCCCAATTTAAGAAGATCTGACAAATGACAATGAAGCAGCTGCTTCAATTCTTGAGCCACTACAGTCCTAGGAGGGAAGAGAGTGCAAACTGAGAACAAACAGAAAAAAAGGAAAAGTAAAAAGAAGGCTCTTATTTTCACAAGGGTCACACCATTCTCTGTCAGAAACACACACACACCTAGCTTAGAGACCCCTCTTCTTGTTCAGACCCAGAACCCAGAAAAAAGACAATTTTTTGAGGTTTTCTGATAATTCTTGAAAGTGGGTCTGAATCTTTTTGAGTAAATTCAAGAATGGTGTTCATAACTGAAGAACTGATCAAGCAGTTGCAAACTTTAATGGATGAAAGTTAGTTCCTTTACTAGTTATCATTGATTCTTCTACTACATTTCTTTGACTTCGGATCTCTGAAGCCTTAACACTCTCTTATTTTTTAACTCAATTATCTTTTTGCAGTTGCTGAGCCACTTCACAAGACTTTCCAGGTTTTACTTCTAATTTCAACTTTCAATATTTTGCAAATTTATGATTTGCTCTATATTTGAAAATGCTATGATTTCCTGGATTTGATCTGGCTATTTCTTGATGTTGGTTTATTAAATTATGTCGATAAATCTCATTTTCTATATGTTGATTGCTAGTTAGTCAATGCCAAGTCAAAAAGTTTCTATCTTTCTTGCATTTTTAACTCATGAAATTCTAGTTTCGGTTTGTTGGCCAAATTGGAACCGATTTGCTTTATATTTGTTTTTATTTTCTTTTTGGTGGTGCGCTAATTATGAATTAGGATGCAATGACTTAGATGGGTTATTGCATATTGACAATTTAACATAATAAGATAAAGTATTGCAATTTGGCTGTATTTCACGGAGATAAATGTTCAAAGCTTACATCTTGATGCAGAATGTGAAGTCACCTAAATGAAAATTGGTCAAAATATGTAGTTAAAAATTATTATTAATTTTTGTTTGAGGAAAAAAGACACCCTTGTTCCTATTTAAGTACATAGATGATGTGCAGTTGGAGATTGTTAAGCCTAGTTAAACAACGGGCTGTCTCCAAAGACTTGTATCTATAACTAAAGGTCAATTTGATGGCACCAGTAGCTAATTGAAGTTTTGAGCCAAAGATTGGTCTTTTACTCTCTTATTGTGGTGGTGGGTGATCTTTTTGGTTATCTGAGGCTTCAAAATAATTGGCATGCATATGGGATTTCAGTCTGATTCTTCATTATCAACTCTCGGGGGTGACCGGTATTTTTTTATTTTTTATTTTTATAAATTTATTTGGCTAAAGAAAGTTATAATCTCAGGTAGCAGAACTACAGAAGAAGTTTAATGACTATTTTAGAGAAAGGTGATCGATCATCAAAATACTCTTACAAAAATATAAGTTTTACACATCTGGCATATTATTGAAGTGGCTGAACAAAATAAGATGAGCTAAGCATTATGGCATGTGCAATAGTTTGATAGTGAGGGGAAAGTTAGCTATAGTTTCGTTGCCAATAGTAATTATAGGTTTGAGGAACGAAAATTGATAACTCTATAGTGACCATACTAATATGAGGTCTCATAATTTTTGCAGAATGTACATCAGGGGTACCGAACCGAGACACTGGTGAGGTTTCTCAAAGCTAGGGATGCCAGTGTCTCTAAAGCACACAAGATGGTAGGTGCATACAGTTTTCATTCACATTTGAAGCTAAATATTTCTTCATGATGAATATTTTATCTAGAGAAATCTTCTAATTGTAATCAGCACTTTGCAGCTTGTTGACTGTTTAAATTGGAGGATAGACAATGAGATTGATCAGATACTTGCAGTAAGTTTTCTCTTATCATAGCATAGGCGTTCTCTCCGTTCTTGAAAGTGTCATAATTTTGAGTTTCTTAAAAGTCTACTTCCATTTTGTGTTCATTGTAGATCCTGTTGTGTGACTTTTTCTTTTTCCTTTTGCTTTTCCCAACTATTCTCTGGGATATACTTGGATGTTAAAATCATAATGAATTGTCAGCTTGTATTGACCAGATCTAATGACTACATTATGCAATATAATCTGCTTCAATCATGAAGATATCTACCTTTAGCTCTAATTCTACTGCATCACATATACAACAGATCTGCAAAGTCAAAAGTTCCGATCTCGGGGTCCAAATGGGAAAAGGAATAATATTCTTTTGAAAAAGCGACAAACCTTAAAAAACCTCAGTTAAACACAGCTGTAATATTTGAATGAAACACCTTCAGTTAGTCTCAAATAATAAAGAAGTGAAGGCTAAGCTGATTCTGACTGTACTATTTGGCTGATATTTGTCATTTATTGTTGCAGAAGCCAATATTACCCACTGATTTGTACAGAGCAGTGCGGGACACTCAGCTTGTGGGGATGTCTGGATATTCAAGAGACGTAATACTTTGATTTGAATATATATAAATTTCATCGATTAGCTCTCCTCATTTGGGTTATGCAACTTGTTCCCATTGTGCTTGTCCAATAAAATTCTCGTTGTGTGGTTTCTACTTGGTTTTATTCTGTACAGGGTCTTCCTGTCGTAGCTGTTGGTGTAGGGCTCAGCACATATGACAAAGCGTCGGTAAGGGTCATATTTTTTATGTTTCAGCCCTGTTAAGGTGTCAACCTTCAACAGTGTCAGTTCAGCAAAAGCATAAAAATCAGCTGTTCAAACATTTTACCATTTGTCTACAATAGATGGCATTGAAATTGTACTGACATATTTCTTTTCTCCATTTTAGATTCACTACTATATTCAGTCACATATCCAAATGAATGAATACCGTGACCGTGTAATATTGGTAGGTCCTTTATGTTGGTTTATTCAGATACAAGATAAATACAACAAGAATAGCGTGCAATGTAGACTAACTGATGTTCATGTTATAGCCTTCTGCATCAAAGAAATTTGGGCGGTATATTGGGACCTGTATAAAGGTTTTGGACATGACTGGTCTAAAGCTTTCTGCACTGAACCAAATCAAGGTATCTTTTATTTGTTTGACATTGTAATTATATTTGATTGAGCCTTCCTACCAAATTCCTGCTATGTTATTTTCCTTCTCACCGCTTCACTCATCAACCTGATTATTCTGCTTAAAAATCTCATTTGAGGTTATCTGAACTTTAAAATTGAGATAGAGTAATGAGAGTGGGAAATACAAGGAAAAATAAGATGGAAGTTTAAAAAAAAAAAAATAATCCTGCCCACAGAGATCACAATGAATAAACTATCAGAACGTGTTGGTTTAGAAGTTGCTGGTTTATAGCTGTATCATCTTTTTCTAGTCGAAACTCCTGGTTATTGATTCACTTATTTCTGCATTTCTTAGTTCTGCATTCGTCGTCCACATTGCTATTTCTTGTTAAAGTTTGATAAGATGTTCAATTTTCTCTCTTTCTCCAAATGAAGATTAAGTTCAAGTTTCAGGGGTAAATAGACTCTTCTGAGTGCATTAGTTCATTTGCTAAATATTGCTATTTACAAAATTTTAACTTCTGAAAAAAGAAAATTGTAATCATCAAATACTCAAATGACCTAAAAACCCATATAACAGAACACCAAGAAAAGTGTTTTGTGGGCTTGAGAAAGAAAGGGATTCACATCAAATACATAAATGTCGGGAAAGGATATGAACGAGGAAACGGTCACAAGTGCAAGACCAATAGGAGGAGTTTATAGAGGACTTGTGGTGAGTTTACACCAGGGATCTACCTTGAACCCACACTTCTTTATTCTTGGATGAGCTATTGAATAGTATGTAGGATGAGGTTTTATAGTGCATGGTATTTGTAGATGATATATTGTGTTGATTATCGAGACTAGCTAGAAAGTCAACCTAAAGCTGAATATAGAAAAGTATTCTACAGAATAAGGTTTTTAGGATAAGTAACGGAAGACAGAATATATGGCGCTACAAGTTTAGGCCTTCTAAGAAGAATGTAGGTGAAGTGCCATGTAGGTCATGGGGCCTAAAACGGACAACTCAAATACTTAAGCTGGGTCTTGTAGGAGAATGACGTGATAGATGAAAATATAGTACATAGATCAAAATTGGATAGCCGAAACGAAGGAGTGCTATGCAATAGGAGGATTTTATGAGACCAACAATCTTATATGGGAATGAATGTCAGGTTCCTAGAGCCCAACAAATTAATAAGATGAGTGTCGTAGAAATACGAATGTTAAGATAGATGTGTTGCCATGCAAATTAGATAAGACTAGAAATGAGCACATCCGAGATTGTGCAAATAGCAATCCGAAGATAAAATGAGAGGTCGCATGAGATGGTGCGACAATAATGATTTGAAAGTGATAAAAGGGGACAGTGTAAAAATTAAATTGCATAGAGAAAATTAATTTCAAAAGATGTGTAATCTCTCAGAAACAATGCGGACTTAACTGAGATTATAGCATAATGGAAACGAAGGATCTATACAAGCATTAAAACTTAGTTGTTTGCCATGAGTCTTTGGGTCTTGTTAATACTTATATGTGGATGTAGCAATAAGTTAAGATTACAGAATCTAACTTTTTCTTATATGACGGTTGTGTCTGGGTTAGCTAGCATCCACCTCGATTATTCCATACGGGGCCTGCTACCTTCCACCAACACAGGCGTTGGATAAGTCCACCCACCAAGACTTAGGCAGTGGGAAGAAATAACTCTTAGTTTGATGTAAAAAACGAACTGTTTAGTACTGAAATAAAATGAACTCACTATAATGGAATCAAACAAATGTAGAGGATAAATATAGCCGGCACCTACTAGTTTGGGATTGAAGCATTTCATTGATATTAGTTTGGGATTGAAGCATTTCATTGATATTAATTATTGAAATGACTTATCAATTATAAAACGAGTAATATGGTTTATATTTACTTGATCACATTCTTTATCTCTTTAAACTTGACATTTTATTTATTCCTCTTGTAGCTCTTAACTGCTATATCTACCATCGATGACTTAAATTATCCTGAGAAGACAGAGACGTATTACATTGTTAATGCTCCATACATTTTTTCAGCGTGCTGGAAGGTTAGTGTATAACTTATACATAATTGTTTATGAGCTTCGTTAAATCAGTTAACCTAAAGCCCAACTATATACAAACTTGCAGGTTGTGAGACCTCTTTTACAAGAAAGAACCAAAAAGAAAGTCCAAGTGCTCTCAGGCTCAGGAAAAGATGAACTATTGAAGGTAAGATGTCTGTTATTTGAGTCAGTTGCTTTTTAAAGAGATGAACTATTGAAGGTAAGATATTTTTTGAGTCATTTGCTTTTTATCCCTCGATTCTCTCACTTCAGGAGAAGCTTGCTGTTCCAGATGATTCTCATACCTTTGTAGGATCCATTTTTATTCACAGAAAACGAGCACATTAATAATGTTGGGTCACACACCTTCATTTTTAAAGGAATACGAGACTTGACTTCTTGTCCAACTAGATTTGTCTCTCGCTTAGAGCACTAAAAAACTCTAGTTCTCAACTTGCAGATAATGGATTATGCATCTCTGCCACATTTTTGTAAAAGAGAAGGCTCGGGTTCATCTAAGCATTCTAGAAATGGTACAAATGATAATTGTTTCTCATTGGAGCATGCCTTTCATCAGCAGCTCTATGATTTTATTAAGCAGCAAGCTGAAGCATTGGAGGCTGTTGCACCAAGCAAAGAAGGATCTGTCCATGTGACCTTACCTGAGCCAGATCCAGACGATGCGAAGATTGCTGAAACAATAGAATCTGAATTTCAGAGGATCAGGAAGAAAAATGGAATTTGCCAATCATTTCATGAAATTAAGATCAATGGTGATTGAAGCAGAATGGAAATGAATTTGCATTTTGGCTGTTTCACTGTAGTCTTGGTTATTGCTTACTTTTACATGAGGATTTAAGCATTGTAATACTAATGGCTTGCATCATCTCGATGCAGGATTTAGATAGAACCTAAGTTGTAACATGACAATACTACCTTGGAGTGGACTATATGGATGGTCGAAAATGCTTAAAGAATCCCACGATGAATTTTACGCGCATTTTGCTTAATTGATCTGCTTTTTTCTGCTGCTTTCAAGATTCCTGAATCTTCTCAAGATAGAATAAACTTTCTTCTGGTTGAAGGACTGTAAAGGAAGGGGAGAAAAAGGAGAAACTATGATAAAATAAAAAGGGCCAGAGGAACTTTTCCTGTCTGTCTGTGTTTTGTTCATCTGATATAGTGATCTTGTCCAAGCAGAATATTAATAAGAACCTTGGTTTAAAATACCCGTGATTCACCTGGTATATGGAATTGTTTTTACTATTCTTGGCTTTGATATATTAATATTATCGCATGAAGCATCCAAGCTATGGGTCATGCCAAATAAACCATTTCCTCTGAATCCTAACATGCAGTTAAGTTTGTGCTCCGATACTTTAGATGGCAAAGAAGATTATTGTTGTACTTGGAAAACATCAAAAAATTTGTTTCAAGAACCTGGCTGTGGTCTTACAACTAAANCATGCCTAAATTTACAGCACCAATTGTCTTTCATTACTCTGTTCTGGCATAAGTCGCATCCCAAGTAAATCAAATTAGACTTCCTTTCAGTGACTTACACATGCAATAACCTCAATTTACATCAGGAAAGCAGAAAGATGTTTTTTACCCAACAATGGAATTTGCACGACAAACGTGAGTTTTTTCACGAATATTACTTCAGCTGCCTGTAGCAATTGAAGGCGTAGGCAACTGATACGACAGCACCAATAACAGCAAGGACTGCATATGTATCTTCCCGCTCCCAGCTCTCGTACCATGTAGGCATTGAGCACACCTTGCGAGAGCGAGCCCCTTTTCCACTATTACTTTGAGAAATTTGTCGCCTGAAGCTCTTTATCTTTTCAGATGTAAAGTCAGTGTTTTCTTGGTGGAGATCGAAATTTTCAGCATCGACTGGTAGTTGAGTGTTCTGACAACAAGAGATATTCCCATTTGCCCGGCAACAGTCAATACCCTCTAATTGGGAGCCACATGTGCTAGTACCAACATCATCTGAGTTTTTGGTGCCTCTTTCCATATATGTTCCACCATTAACACTGAGCCTATATTCTTGGGATACTTTCTGTTCATCTTCAGATAGTCCCATCTGGCCCCTGAAATAAAATTTTGGTATTCTAGATAAACAGAAAAGTAAAAGTTTCATTGATGCATGCAAGAGTGCCTTCTGCACCCCTGCAAGCATAGTAGGACAAATGGTGCTTGAAAAGCCAATTTTTCACCTCTACAAAATTAGGATTGTTTTTACAAAACACTTCCTCATTAGTATTTCACATTAATGAGTACATTGGAATCAACATTATTGTGTTCTTAGACCCTCAGAATTTTATGAAACACTGAATTTCCATTGAATGCAAAGTTATATCTAAAAATTTTGTTTCCCCAAAAACATAAATTTGGCTCCATAAGCAGATAAGGGCACAGGTTTATGGAACTTAAGCCGTTTAAAAGGTAACTAAATATTGACCAACAATGCCTTGGAAACATACATAACTTGAATCTTAACCACACTTTTAAAAGTGCCATTGCTAACATTTTAGAGCTGACAAGTATAGAATAGCTTAAAGACACATTAAAATCATTTATAGGTAGTCATATGCAATTTCTCCAGATGTCAGATTACAATAGCAACAGGGGAGAGAGAATTACCTCCACAACCAATCAACAATTTCTCCTTTAGCAACATGCTGTTCAAGCAACTGAGGTACATCATCAGGTGTAACATAGCCATACCTAATGCACAACAAAATCAAATATATAATTAACTACCCAGCTCAATTTCATCAACTGCCTGCATCTGAGATAACAAAGCCCAAAAGAAAAGGGGCATAAGGTTTCTCCTAACCAGTGTCCGGAGACTTCCTTGTTAGTGTTTGGTCCGAATATGATCACATTTCCAGCAAACTTGTGTCCCCCGATGTGTGAGCATGGACTAACAGATATTTTTCCTTGAAGATCATGTTTCTCTATCTCCTCCCTAAGTCTACTTACTATAGCTGGTCCACAAACACCACATCTACGATCTCTTGAACCATGACAGCACACAAATATGTACCATCCAGTCAGAGCTTCAGGATTTCCAGGTAACCACTCACCATCCTTCACTAGCACCTCCTCAACAAATGTGTCAACATCAAAATGAGTCAATCTCCTGCAAAATAGGTGAATTTAATATCACTTAATAAGTAAGCAAGCAACAGCAGCAAATGCACTAGAATAGTATATCGTATTTCAGACCTGTATCTGATCATGTCTGGAAAGATCAACACATCCCCATTTGATGTCTCGGTTCCATCATGCCCTTCACATATTGTTAACCGAGTCTTGAAGAAAGAAAATTTATAAGGTAAATCAGTATAGATATTACTGTGATCATGAAGAAATCATAACCAATTCAACAATTTACTTAAGAAAGAAATCTCTGAAAGCTGGCAGACCAAAGGCAAAACTGTTTTATGTTCAATAATACTTTTATCACAAAAGATGAAGTACATAATAGCAAGATGGAATCTAATTCCGCATAAAGCATTTCAAAGGCAACGCTAAATTACATCATGACTACTTCCAGGACCAAAGTCAAAAAATAAGAGCACTACCCTGGGTATTCAAGACTTTAACTTTCAAGAGCTACGCCTAGAGATCATATAGATGAGTCAAGAAGGATGCCAGAACTCAATTTTTAGAGCTAAGCAAGGAGATTATATATGCCTCGAGAAGGATACCAGTTGTAGAAGTCAGCATGCTAGTAAAGGAGTTGAAGCAGACTAGAAGGTATGAAAACAAAAGCAATAATCCGGATTGTTACTTAGCGTTCTATAAATTGCTAGCACATTGTGCACAGGGAGACCATACTGATCTGCAATTCGCCTTAACAGGATATAGCAAATGGAATCAACTAACCAAAGATAAAATGTTTTACAATTCTTCAGTAAAATGTTTTACAATTCTTCAGCTCTCTCTAATAAGAAAGTGCACTTCTGCCCCTTACAGTATCATGTCAAATGCACCTTTGTCCTCATACTTTGAAAATTAGACTTCACAGTGTCATTTTAAAATTAATTTATTGCTAATCTTCAGCTTACTAATTTTCGTATGCAATTGAAGGGAATGTTTTTCTGCCAGGTAATCTAGTGGCAAATCATACACAACCTTGAAAAACAAATAGTAGGCTGTGTGTCCACTCCTCAGTGTTGGATTTCATGATTGACTGTTAGGGCAACTGGGCAATCAACCACAATGAATCAAGTTTTTCTTCATTTCACCATTTAAAATTTTCTTTAAGGGTGTTCATGGCTTATTTTTCCATTAATAGTGCAGTAGACTGCAAGCTAAGCAAGTGATAAGAGTCTCAATAGTACAATATATAGCAACATAAAATAAGGCAAAAGTTAGGTTGCTATCGACTCGATGATTGCGACTTGTGGGGATACTTAATGGGAGTTCTATCACGACTAATCAGTTTCTCCCATCTTAAGTGTTAAATGTTCTTGTTCAAGAGTGAATGTCCCTCATTTTCTCCATCATTAGAAAAGTAGAATGTTCTCTCTTTCTTTTTTTTCTTCTAGTTTTTCGTCATAAAAAGATGGGATCAAACTCATGATGGCGATCAGAAGAGTAACCAGTGGCGGACGCACATGGTGGAAAGCAGGTTCAACTGAACCCGCTTCGTCAAAAAATAATATTGTATATATGTATAAATTACGATTAAAGCTGTATAAATTTTGTATAAATATTTTATTTGAACCCACTTGACAACTACTATTTTACGACTAAAGTTATGTACTTCTAAGACTGAACCCGCTTGCACAAAATCCTGGGTCCGCCACGGAGAGTAACATGTGGCCATCTGCTGCTCCATAGTGGGATAAGTGACTTTTTACTGTTTTTAGTGCTTCTTTCTTAACGGTCAATTGGTTAGAGGCAGTAAAACAAAAGTTATGAGAAAAACAAACATGTACAATAGTGCGGCTACTTAAAGGTATTCTGCTGTACCTACACAAGTTCAATCAAAATTACGTCAAACGAGAACAATTTGCTCTTAAACTTAAGACAAGCTATGCAGGATGGAAAATGGCGAGTCATGTGATCTACTTAATTATACAGGTGGACTCTAGCAATTGAAAATTGGAGACTGTTAAAGATTTTATCCAAAGGAAAAGAAACTGTACAAGGACAAAAAGTGTATACGAACAAATAATGTAGGAACTAACTGTGCATTTTACTTTTCAGTCTATTGCTATATGCAGGAAGAACTCAGTTCAGACATCCGAATAAGTAACAATGTAAAAAAGCAAGGAATGCCCATCTTTTAAAAGAAAGCATCTGCATAAATTTAAGAAAGTTTTAACTCGAAAGCTGATGGAAGCAGTTCTTCCCACCCTATTCAAATGGCGTATTGGGCCTGTTTGCTTATCAGCATAAGTTTAAGGATGATATGGGATGTAAATTATTTGATTTTTTCCAAAATAAAATTTGACATTTTGAAACTACATGATAAAAGACTAACAAGTTAGAAATATACTCATTTCAGAATGCTAAAAGACCTAATAACCAACGTGCGTCTGAATCCGTTAGGGTTTAGCTAGAGCTATATAAATCCTTCATATTCATTCAACTCTAATCAGGCTTATTTCAGGTAAATTACAAAAGACTAATTTTTTGAAAAAAGAAATAGTATTGGTCAAACTTTAATATAGTACTAAGTGAATTTCCAGTAACTCATTAGCAATTATATTCATCGGCATACTAGAAGAAAATAACAGCTACCACAATGCAGTATAGCTACTTATTCAAAATCTTAAAACAAAGTGACACGTGGCACAAACCTGTTTGTTGACATCATTTTTGCGAGCAGAAAGAGCAGCAGCAAGAAGCCTAGGCAAGCGATCAAACTCAGTGGCCTCAATACGCGGAGGCCAAACTTGAGGATTCTTGTAGCAAAGGAACACGTGGCGGTCGTAGAAGTCGACAGTACCAACAAGTGGAATCTGGCGAAAATCAGGACGCGAAAAACCGAACTCGGCATCGGAAGTTCCGGCGGCGGCGTCGAGGCCGGAGAGAAAACCCTCGTTCTGGAAACTTCCAGAAGCGCTACCGATCTGAGAAGAATCTAGAAGGAAGCTGTCCGCATCGGAGACGGTTATTGGGGAAGAAGTGTTAGGGTTTATGAAATCGTTGTCCCTGTTGCTACTCGCCATTACTGAGTGGACTGAGGGAGCATTAATGGTGTGTTTCAAGTTTCAACTTTGACCTCTGTGATAGTGAAATGGACTCGTGTTATACTTTAGTTTCCTTTCTTTTTTTTCCTTATTTGGGTGGACACACAGTGAACTTTTTTAAGAGTTAGCAATACTTTATTTATTATGGGTAAAATTACATATCTTATATTTTTTTTGTAGAGGGAGTGCAAAGTCAAAACAATAACAGAAAAGAGGGCGTAATTTATTATAACTAATTAAATTACATTAATACTTATAAATTTATTTCATATTGTTAATATATACTTCCTTCGGTCCACTATAATTGATTTTTTTTAATTATTTTCACACATATTAAGAAATTCACCTTTTAATATTAATTAATAATAAAATTGACCATATTAACCTTTACTATCTCTTATTAATTTGTTCATTAAAAATATAACATATACTCCAAGACTCTTTGATCCGGGGCAATTTTGAAGAAAAGAAAAAGTTAATTCCTTCTTGATATCTGAAAAACTCAAATATTGTGTTTTAATATAACTGGATATGGAGTTTAAGAAAGTAAGAAAAACTTTTGAATCTTTATTGTGTTAACATGTTATGGGGATATCGAAATTAAAGAGTTTTCTACTAAATAAAGAAAGTGGCATTTTTTTAAAAATGACTAAAAAGATAATTACAGTGCTTCAATTGTTGAAAATGTCTTACAGGGCTTTGACGTAATCTCGTCTTACCCTAAGTCCCTCAACGTTTATTTGGTATGAGAGTATCACACCAAACCCATGTATATCATCGGTTTTCTAATGGCTATTAGGGAGCTTAATGTTTTAATTAGCCATCAATTAAATTATATGATTAGATCAATTTCGTTGACCCAACATGTTTCTTGATAAATACTACTAGTATTAAACAAGACTCTCTTATTGATCATTCCTAGTAAAAAATGAACACAGATATTAGCAGGAGCAAGTAACATAAAAGGGGGGAAAAAGACTTGTAAGCTGTATTTTGATGTGCATATATTTTACCTTTTCCGTGGAAGTTGAGGATGGTCAAGAAAAGAGTCTTGTAAGCATCTTATTTATGCGAGTCAATTGCATATAACTCTTAATAACTTACTTGCACACACACAAATAAATACCAAAAGTGAAAGGAAAAAGAAAATGCCGTTCCACAGGTTTCAGATATACACAATACATGGCATATAGACCGGCTCCTCTCCACCACACAATTTTGGCAAAGTGCTACCAAACAGGCTTCTCTCCAGGCAGATATGAAGGAGAACTTCCCTCTACTTGGTTTTTCTTCTTGTGAAAAATGCCGCTGATATTAGGCATCAATACTTTCTTCTTTGACACAGATGTCTTTGCTTTCTGCAACTTGCGCGATTCTGTTATCTGCTCATGTGAGCTTTGCTTCCAGGTTTCCACTGGTGGTGGGTGCATCTTTGAATGTGACTCCGTGAACTTCTCCGATGGCTTCTCCTTCTCAACTCTGTAACCCTGAGGAGATGATCCGTAGTTCATCTGTTGTTCAGCAAGAATACGAGAAGCTGACTCGGCTGCCTTCTTTTGCTCACGTTCTCGCCATCTTCTAAGCTCCCCTTCTACGGCCTTCTTGGCAGCTTCTGCCATCTCTGCCTTCTTCAATGCTTCCTGAGTAGCACTTTTTATATCATCAATCTCCTTCTGAGTAGCATCCAACTTCTTGAGGGCCTCATTCTCACTTGCTTTCACAGCCTCTACCTGAGCTATTACAGCTCCCACTCTAATTTCTGCTAATTTATCAAATTCTTCAGCTTTGCGGCTCAAAGAGTCAAATTCGTCTTTTGATAAAGTGACACGAGAACCAGACTCGGACATTGAGGAACGTGCAGTCGTGTTCTTTTCAGATAAAATCTTAATTTCATCACGAGCCCCAGCCTCAGCTGATTTTGCTTCTTCAGCTTCTTCCATCGCCACTTTAAGCTTCTTTTCTGCTTCTTCAAACGCCATTCTAGTGGCTTCTGCTTCTCTCTTTAATTCTTCTGCTTGCTTTTTCATCTCTTCAGCTTCAAGCTTGGCATTTTCAGTCTCCAAGGTCAGCTGGTGGAGAGTAGAGATCATTTCTTCGGAAGCCCCTCTTGCTCTGGATTCTTCTGCAACTGCTACTTCAAGCTCAGATTTGACTTTCCGGAGCTTGATGTGCAGACCCACAGCAAGTGATTCTGTCTCCGCCTCCTTCTCTTTCAGATCAGAATGTTCTTTCTTCACATTCTCCAGCTCCAGTTTAAGGGTCTCTAACAAGGTCTGCAGAGTGCTCTCTTCTTCTGCCACTTTATGCAGTGATTCCTTAGCATCATCCAGCTCTGCAGTAACAGCTGTCACTGTATCAAGGTCAGAAGACTTCGTGCTATCCATCTCTTTTCGCAGAGCTTCAATTTCGGATGTTGTTTCAGCCAATTGTGCTTCCAGACTCCTGGCTATATCCCCATTGGTTTTTTTCCTCAACGCAAGTAACTTCTCTGCTGACTCTTCAAGTTTAGCCTTGTAGGACTGCTTCTGAACATCCTTTTCAGCATAAATCTTTGCTTCCTCTTCCCGCTCCTGCACACAGGCAAGTTTTAGCTGATCAATTGACTCCTGGACAGCTGCTATTTCCTTGGAGAGTTCACGAGCTCTTTCCACGTTTGCTTTCGCAGTACGCTCAGCTTCTGCTGCCTGCTCAATAGCGACAGCTTTTTCTTCCATAGATGTATTACAATCCTGACGGATTTTCCTAAGCTCTTGTTTAGCGGTATTAAGATCAGCTATTTCAGCCATATACGTTTCTCTCGCAGTTTCCAGATCCACCTTCCAAGAACCATCATTCCCAATAACAGAGCCATCAATTGCTTCTTCAAGTTGGTTAACCTGACTCTTTGCTGCTTCTGTTGCCTTTATAGCTGAATCCTTTGACTCGCAGACAAGTTTTAGCTTGTGGGTGAGGTCCTCAACAGTCCGTTTTGCCCTTTCAAGTTCGGTGAGTGCTTGGTCTTTTGTAGTTTCAGCATTTTTCAACTGTTCCTTCAACTTGTTTAGCTCTTTCTGGGCCAAGTGAAGCTGTGTTTCCTTTGCCAATACCCTCTGAAAGAAAGAAAAAATAATGGTACTAAGGTGAGGCTATCTGGTTGCAGACCCTGACACTAACCAATGCTTAGATTAAAATAGTCTGTATTCAGTCACTTCAGAGCACCTAATGCCTATTACATTCAGTACTCCAAAGAGAAAAAGTTCTGAAAGTCTAAAAATGAAGCAGAATATTTTTTATACACACTACCCAAGTCATTAATTACCGTTGTGTAAACTTTTAAATTAATCAAGAAAGAAGGTGCTTCAAGGATGCATATACAGGACAAAACTTTGATGAATAGATGGAGATGCGTGCATGCACAAATCTTTATAATTTACTTGATAACAAGAATATTAGTGTGTTTACTAGGCAAAAGGAAATTTGGATTAGAAGTTCATTCTCTCACTTTTCCTTGTATAATAAGTTAATAATCAATCTTAATCATAAAACGATCATTTACTACAAGCAGCACGGATAAAGTAAGACGCAATAAAAACATCTAACTTTTCCAGTCAGGATAATGATACATATTTGAACCACATTATCATATACCTCTGCGGACTGAGGTTTTGCCTTCTTGATTGCTGGTTTTTCCACTGAGAAAGCACCTTCCCCAAACAGGTTAACAGCATCTTTAACAGACTGGAATGGTGCACTTGTATCTATTTCTCCAACTTGTACATTAGGAGATCCAGTGGGTTTTTTATGGTCTTTTGCAACCATATTTTGATCTTTTTGACTCAATCACCTACCAAGAAAAGCAAAGAAAAGTTGACTGGGAGTGATTAAAAACACAGTCAGAGTTTTTCAACCTATTAGATAAGAATAATATAGAAGCTCGAGATACATCAGTTTACAAGTGGTCATCATGCAATACAAGCTATAGTTAAATATGAGTCCCTCCTCCTACTTGAAAATCTTAACATTTGATTCCCCTTTTGGTTATTCTCCTCATTGAAATATAGTACAGATAGGATGAGTACAGCTTTGGAAAGCATGTTATAGTCCATTCACATACATTGAAAAGCAAGCACACAAAATCATTCAAGCAGTGCTGAGACTGGGAAGATTAGAAAAGCGTAAACCAAGAACTCAAGACGATGGAGAAATTCAACTTATGGAGATGAGTTGAAATTCTTTTCCTTATGGCACCTATCCCCTTCCCCAAGGATATTGAAACCTAATTCAATGTGTTTTAAGCTACAATTATCTACCAAAAGATGTTACAAGAACCAATCAATCAACATTCTTAGTTCATCACTGCAGCTAAATTATTCCTCCTCAAGACCTCAACTACTAAGACTGAAATATGTTTGAGATTGTCAAAAAAAAACTTGCCATGATAGAATCCACTTACTGCAAAATAATGGATGAGAACACGATGGTGGTACATTAGACTAGGTCAATCATCAATGATCTGTCATGGCCAACTATGTTACATGGATCCTTTCATTTGCCTTGTCATACACATGTCAAACAGGTGTGACATGGCATTGGTATGTCATGCAGATTCTTCAAATTACAGTACAAATTGGAAAAGACTACACATACGCGTACCAAAAAGTTACAAGCGCACTTAATGGGATTTGTACCTGTAATTGTACACGCGTACATGCAACATAGATGTAAAATACAGGTGAGGATCTAGAATAACACCCAATAAAGAGAATTAAATGTCAGGTATTGTCTTAAACTATCACATGTCCACTACATTCAACCATCAATCTTGTGGTTGACCCATCCAGGTTGAAATGTTGCATCCTTTGACCTTAACACTCAAAAACCATTATTCTAGTTTTTCGGACGAATGTGTAAAAGCCATTTAGTTGCTTCAACTAGGTGCGCTGTACCAATCTTATAGATACTCATCCATTCCACCAGCCACTGCAACGGCTTATTTGCCTGTAGCATGTGTTAGTATACTACCCAGATACTAGCACCCTTGTGCCTTTCACAGCACATCATAGGGAAACAAACCACAGATATGAAAATCTTATCAAGCATTCTTTCCTGCTCCTTTGAGCTGCATGAATAGAAAGACACTTTCCTTTTGCCACATTGAGAAGAGTAGACTGCTTTCGACTTTTCTTTCATATGGAAAATGCCATGTTAAGTTATACTCAGACAGCTGTCTGTATACATGGGGTGCATGTTTATAAAATGTACTTCATTCCTCAAAATCGATCACTCTAATCTCCAATTCTAGCCACTAAAAGCACCCAGTATTATCAAAGGCGAAAAGCGCAGAAAAGCTCTAAGGCCGGTTGGGGCTTTAAGCGCAAAGCGCAAATAAAGCGTGGGCTTTAATGAAAAAATGCGCAATTGGAGATAAAGTAAAAATATGTATATGTAGTCCAAGACCAATAATTATAAGCATGAATAACAAATATATGGACAAAAAAATTACAAAAACATTACGATAAAGTGAAATATCAATTGTTCAGTGTCGCGTAGACACTTTTCAGGATTACACTCATTGGGCAAGGAAAAGTATGCCTAAGAGCCTTGATGGGACACTGAAGCGCCCACAAAGCGAGGCGAAGCGCTCAACATGTTTTGAGCCTCGCTTTAGGGCTTTAAGCGCGCCTTTGGAAACACTGAAAGCGCCATATCACCACTTATTAAAACCTCCGAAGTTTCCTATATGACAAAAACATAACTGACTTGAAAATGATAAGCCACCTTAGATTAGCACTTACATTAAGTCATTAGTGAAATCAAAAGTATTCACGCTGAGTTTGGTTGCCGTACTTCTCAAGTTAAAAGCAAAACCACTATATTGAACTCTGCTTTGGTGTATCTGAGGGTGTGAAAGTATGAAGATGTCAAAATCCCGTTGAAGAAATTGTCTCTGCCACGACATGCTAATGCAAATATTGCATTGAGGCTTTCTTCGGGGATTTTAACAATTAAATTGGAGTAATCAAATCTTCAAATGCTTCCCAATACAATAAGATTTTCTTCTGACAGAACCCATTTTGCACCGTGTTTGTCTTAGAGTCATATTGTAATTTTGTGGCGAATCATGCCAAGGCTGAAATAGATTACACAAGAGATATAGCAAGGCTAATGTATTACAATTCTATTTGGCACAAAATGGCAACGAAAATTAAACTTTGTTATAGCCCGACATTCTCCTGGATATAAGAATAACCAATCAGCATGTGAATGTAAAATCAAATAAACTCCACACGAAACAACGCAGAAACTTTCCGAACTAGAAAACTCAGTTTCTCTAAGTGTATCCAGCATCATGGATTGCAATTAGCTACCTACACATTCATTTTTGGAAGTGAAACAAACAGAGAAACAGATGCCAATTTAGTGGACAAAAGCAAATACCTCTACAACTATCACTGACACTGTACACTACGCCAGAGACGATCGCCACTCATTTCAGCGCTCCACCGTCTAAGATCGCAATCAGCATCAGTTGCATATACAAACGTGCCTTCTCGACATTTTTAGGGTCAACTAAATTTGAAGTCTGATATTGGTAAATAGTTAAAGTAAGCAAGAAAATCATTTTAGTGCATAAAACTGCATATGTACATATCACCTACTTCTAAAAGGTTAAAATAGCAACTTAGTGAGTGGAACGCATCAAATCCTACTAAAGGATGCAAACTTATGAAACTCATAAAACAAATTACACAACAACTATGCCTCAACCAGAAGCTCATAAAATTAGAGGAAATTTAAAACATAACGCAAAAATATCTAATCAGAAACTAATACTATCATTTAATTTATAATCATCACGAGATGTGAGTACGACAAAAAGAAAAATCGTCACATTTCTCAATTACCACTTACCAACCAGAACAAGAGCAACTACACGGACCAAATTCTATCACCAAGTCTAAAAAGGACTTCAAATTTAGCAAATTTAACAACAACAAAAAAAACAATAATATCAACAAAGGTTAAAAAAAGTAGGCAAGCAAAGGGTAAAGAGGGAAAAGAACTTACCTAATGATAACTCGAGCCCTAATCATGTACGAAAGAGGGGGAAAAGGGTACATCCATAAACCCTAGAAAAAAAATCGTCAATCTCTTGAATCCCAAAAGGGTCGATATGGCAACAGTAAATTCTGAAGAAATAGGCGAAAGTGGTTGACCCAACTAAACGGATGTCCAAAAGTCAATACTTTTACTAAACAACATAAACCAAACACTCCTTTCTAGTCTTTAATCTCCAAGAAGGAAAAAAGAAAGGAATTTTGCAGAGACTAGGATGAAAGGAAAAAGTGTTTGGATAGTGAAAAGAGGAAAAAAAATAAGCATGGGTAGTTGCAACATCCGAGATAGAGAGAAGCAGAAAATTCAAACGGTAAAGACAGGAATTGTTCACTGCTCTGAGAGAGAGAGGGGTGGGTGATGGTTTGAAAGTTAGAAAAAGCTAAAAAAGCTGTGTTGAAAGACAAATATAGGAATGTATACTATCAGCTAATCAGAGAGGAGAGAGAGGGAGAGACACAGAGGGAGAGAAAGAGAGTCCAAGTCAGCAAATGGCACCGTCCAAAGGCTGACTCTGTCTCTGAGCACGCAAAGGCTGGGTGAAAAAGAAGACGCACAAAGACAAAGGTTGCTAAAGATAGGGTAATAATATTTGGATTAGCTATGTCATCCTCAATTATTAAGATTTTATTCAAATTTATACTAGTTTGTTTGACCAAATTTTTGGAACCAAAAATAGATTTTTGGTTCAAAGTCAATATTTATTGATAACCAAGACTTACTTCACTTTTTTCCCAATTTTAAAAGAATAGATCAAAAAATAGAAATGATCAACAAAGAAAAATAAGAAATGAACTAATAATCACTCCCCAAAATTAAGGCTTAAAGTTTGGAGAAATAAACAAAGAATAATAGTGTGGATTTCAATAATAATCTTAACTTATAATTACAAATGAGATTTCTGTCCTTATATAAGAGCGTACAATTATAATGGTTCTCATTGTTATTTTGGACTTACTAATGGTATTAATTGTATTGATTGTTCGTTATCATATATTACCGTAACGAATACATTTATGACTAAAGATTCCTTACAACTATACCGATTTCCCTTCCTTATTTACATCAAGTTCGTGTATCTTACCTTCTTTGCGGCCTTCATTCATTTCGCTCATGTTTCTCCTTTAAGAGTTGTCTGGTCTGGTTCTCCTGTGCCTTTTATGCATTCTTTAATTCGTCTAATTAAGAGTGTCACTTGTCCTTACATCAATATTCCATATGTCATGCCCCGTCAGCTTGTTGATAGTCCACGTGTCATGTCTTTTTTTGTACCAATACACAAAAAGATTTTTTTTTCTAAAAGGATAATATTATTTCGAAAACTCACTGATATTTGTTGAGCAGGCATTTTTTATATTTTATTTGTTATTACAAAAAAATTGACAATCTTGGTTGAAGAATTGTTCCGGCGAAGGTTTTTGAGGAATCAAATTGAAGTTTCTAGGTTGGTCTAGATAGATATTTTAGTTCAAACATAATTTTTTATATTAATGATAATAAGTTTAGAAGAATTTCTATAAAAAATCAAAACAAAACAAGAGATGTTAATATTTCAAAGCCAAACCTAAAAGGTAGTTTCTAAAATTAATTTCACTCCATATTTATACTAATTTAATAAATATTAATAACATTAGTATTGCCTAAATAGCAATTGCATCGTCAATAATTAAAATTTAATTAAGAAATCTTAATCACATGCCATTAATGTTTGTCTTTTATTTATATTTTTAATACTTAAAAAGAAATTGGGAGAGGGAAAAAAAGATTACAAGGTGGCAGAATCGAACACTTACCAATAAAGTAAAAGTTTAAGTAGCCAAAAACCTACACTCTTAAGATCTCATACAGTCTTATACTTAGTTATTGTCACGCCCCAAACTAGGGGAGGCACGACTGACACTCGATACTGTATTTGATCGAATTAGCCACTAAACATACTAGCTAACTAGACTGGGGGCCCAACAGATCGGGCAGCACAACATCTGAAATACTAAGCCTGGACCGTAAGGTTATGACATGAATAACAATAAGCCATATAAACATAGGTAGACAAGCCAAAATAATAAAATACTAGTTGGCTGACGAGGCCGCGACTGAAGACATACATGCCTACACACCTATATATACATGCCAAGCCTATGGGCTGGAGACTGAAAGCAGCAAAAAGAAACCCATAATATTGTGTCCACAATAGCCTCTAAGAGTGTCATAAGCACTGTCGGAATAAGGCCCCAACTATACCCAAACTGTACAATAAAAGTAACCATTCTATGAAAGCTCCAGGAAGAGGTGGAGCTTACCAACTCACAACTGAACCCCAAAATCCTAGCGGAGGGGTCGATCAGAGTCCCTACCTGGACCTGCACGCACGAAACAAAAATACAGTGTCCCCAGGCAACGGGACATCAGTACGAATAAAAATGTACTGGTATGTAAGGCTGAAAGTGGAATCATACATAGCTGATGTAAAAAGGTAATAAAGATACCACCTGACACTGAAACTCAGATAGCCTCCATGGCCGACATCCGACCTCATAGTAATAAAATATGCATGATATACTCGTGTAATCGTATGTCGTGAATACATATATATTGATGTAAATGCATGACATACCCAACCAAATGCTAGCAATGGCGGTCTCTCCCGGTAGCTAACCGGTATCATATTGCCAACCTGTGGCCATCTGTACAATATATATAGTCTTTCGGGCAAATAGGCCCCTTACCTCCGATTATAGCTCGAAGTCCATGCATAATATGTCATGTATGATATGAACTTTGAATGCACATAATAGGCCATAACAAGAACTTAGCCAACCTTGGCTCATTGGTACTCTTATTCTCATAATCTCATAATTACCTTCGTATCGCATACAAATGTCTCGTGGAACCTCATATTTTTTTTAATAAGTTTGAAAACTTAATTCGACTTTTAGAAAGATAACTTAACTCTGAATATGTTCATAAAAAGCTTAAGGTGCTTCACTTAGTCCTTATACCTGATTTCTTGATAATTAGTAAAAGAAAGTATTTCAAAAAAAAATCAAATATTTTAGTAGTTTAAAATTTTGAAATCGACGTGTCACTTTAGAGATTTTAAAATGCACTTTAACAAGGAAGAAGGACTGATCGCAAATACTAAATGCCTTTATTTTTAAGTCACACAACCCAAAGACGAATAAGAATTCATATATATGGACATATATTTAAGAAAGCCGACAAAATAACATATATAGATGTCGAATACCCTTTTTAACCGAACGAGTGGAATATCAACCTAATAGCATTATAAAAATACTTCAACTACGATACCAATGCCTTTCACAGAAGGTCTTTCTAGCAACAGAATAGTAAAATACTTCAACTACGATACCAATGCCTTTCACCCGAGCCATTTCTTTAACCATGAACCTTTATTTAAGGGATTCCTTTGACTTAAAGCTTTAGTTTAGTTCCTTGATATTACCACACATTTTTAGTTTTATTCTCCCAATGTGCTATACCCAATCATATATACCTAATATAACCACGCCACGTTACGTATATTACGTAAGAGAAGAGAGAAACACCTGGGGTCTCACAGTCTCCCCCCTTTAAGAACATTCGTCCGCGAATGGGTCAAGTCAATTCTTTGGTTTTATTTCTTGTCCGCTAATACGTTATTTGCGAGGCTATATTTGTTATATTTGCAAAGCATAAATCAAATTCTGAAGATTCCAACTACTAGGCTTCGTATAGCTATCTCGCAATAAGAAATTTAAATTGCACTTTCAAGTCATTTAAAATCCAATTAAGTTGCTGTAAAGAAATAATTGACAATTATTTAAATGCGACTCACCTTAAGTCGTAAATAGGTGGGGGTAATTCTTCCTCATTTCCTCCTCAGCTTCCCAGGTCATTTCCTCGATGTTGTTATTTCGCCATAACACTTTCACGGAAGCCACTTCTTTAGTTCGAAGCTTCCTTACCTGCCGATCTAAAATAACTACTGGTACCTCTGCATAAGATAAGTCTTCAGCAATGTGAATATCCTCAATGGGTATAATACGTGAAGGATCTCCAATGCACTTCCGCAACATAGATACATGAAACACAGGATGGACTGCTTCCAATTCTAAAGGCAAATCAAGCTCGTACGCCACCCTACCAATCCTCCGAATAATCTTATACGGTCCAACATACCTGGGGCTGAGCTTCCCCTTCTTTCCAAATCGCATGACGCCCTTCATAGGCGATACTTTCAGGAAAATCCAATCTTCTACATCAAACTCTAAGTCTCGTCGTCGAACATCTGTATAAGACTTTTGCCGACTTTATGTTGTACGTAGCCGGTCTCTAATAAGTTTTACCTTTTCCATTGCTTGCTGGACTAAGTTAGGACCTAGAAAC